GGATGATGTGGTGTTGATGGCTGAGGAAGAGAGTGGAATGAAATTAATGTTAAGAGAATTTGAGGAGTATGCAAGAGGAAAGGATCTGTGTGTGAATGTGGATAAGACGAAAGTGTTAAGATTTAGGAAGAGAAGAAGAAAGGATGATCAGGTATGGATGATGAATGGAAAGGAAGTGGAAGAGGTGAGTGAATTTTGTTATCTGGGTTATTGGTTTAAATGGAATGGACGGCAAGAGTTGCATGTTAGTAGAAAGATTGAGAGAGCAGCAAGAGTGATGGGGCAAGTGTGGGGAATAGGGGAAAGAAGGTTCAAGGATGACTCGAAAAAGAGAGTGTGGTTGTTTGATGTGTTGGTGTGGCCGGTTATGGCATATGGAGTGGAAGTGTTGGGGATGGAAAGAGTATGGTAAAGTGGAGAGAATGCATGAGAGATTTTTAAGATGGACGATGGGGGTTGGGTGGAGCTGTCCAGGCTACATGATAAGGGAGGAATTAGGAGGACAAAAAATGGTGATGAGGCAGAGGAAAAGAGGGATGGGACTGGAGGAGAAGTGGAATCAGGGAAGAGGCAGCGGGTTGGCGCAGGAATGTTGGAGAAGGATTAAAGAGGATGAGAAAAGGGGGAGGAAGAATGTGTCTAGATGGGAATGGGAAAGGATAGAGGCAATAGAGGAAGGAAGGAGAGAGGGAGGAGAAGGGGATTTAATGGAGGGATGGGGGAGGAAAGATAAGCAGGAAAGATGGGAAAGGATAGTAAAGTCGAGATACAATAGGTGGTATAGGATGGTAGTAAGTGATGGGATGCCGAGGTATTTGGTGAGAATGAGTAAGTTTGGGAAATGGAATAGAGTGTGTAGATTCAGAATGGGAGAGGGAATGCGAGAATGCAGGTATTGGATGGAGGACGAGGAGAAGGTGTGTAGAGTGTGTGGGTATGAGAGAGAAGATTGGATGCATGTATTAGAGAGATGTGTGGGGGGAATGAGTGAGGAAGGAAAAGGAATGGAAGAGAGAGTGAAATGGATTTTGAGTGAGAATGGTCAAGGAGAGGTATGGATGAGAGAAATGGAAGCGATGAGAAAAGAGAGAATGGAAGGGAGAGCATAGGGTTTTAAAGTAATGTAATTAAGGGAGGGAATCGTTTTTATTGGGGTTAATTGACGAAGCCAAAAGGGCAAGAGGAAACTGGAAACGGAAGCCCGGCACTGGCGAATAGTTAGGTTAATTAGATAAGTTGCGCTTTAGATTTAAGATTGTATTTAGGATATAAGTTTCTAATGTATTTGGGTCCTCGAACCCTGCTTAAGGCAGGGAGAGTAAATAAAGATAAAAATAAAAATTTTATAATAACAAAAACTAAAATAATAATTTTAATAAAAAAACTTTTGAAAAATAATAATTTCGAGAAGTAACAATTTTATTAAAATTAACAAAGAGAATAATTTTTTTAAATGACACTTTTAATAAAATTAAAAATAAAATTTTTATAATAACAAAAACTAAAATAATAATTTTAATAAAAAAACTTTTAGAAAATAATAATTTCGAGAAGTAACAGTTTTATTAAAATTAACAAAGAGAATAATTTTATTAAATGACACTTTTAATAAAATTAAAAATAAAATTGTTATAATTTGGATTCCCTACCATAATTAAAATCCCCCCTAGAAATCGCACATCCACTCTTTCAGTCCAAATACATGCCTGTAAGGAGAATCTGTAGTGATTTCCTCACTTGGTGCCCAAGTTTGTGTCCCTTCCTTGAGATAAACTTATTTTATTTCTATCTATGAAAGTGACTTAAGGAAATACATACAGAACTAAATGTAGACATTGTGATTTAGAGAAAATCAGTATTATTGAACAATAACAATTATTTTTGAAATTAATTGATATAATGGTAAAGCAGATTCAATTTATCAAAAATTAATCTTCTCCTATGATTTGATTTATGTTATTCTTTACTGTATGAACTTATACTGAACTTTAACCATTATAGCGCCTACCTAGACTTAGTTAATATTTTATATTTTGTATTGTTACTTACGTAACTATTAGAATTTAGGAGTACTTTTGTACGAAAGGCCATGTCCCGTTAATAAATTAAATTGAAATTGAAATTGAAATAACAAAAACGAAAATAATATTTTTAATAAAAAAAACTTTTGAAAAATAATAATTTCGAGAAGTAACAATTTTATTAAAATTAACAAAGAGAATAATTTTATTAAATGCCACTTTTAATAAAATTAATAATAAAATTTTTATAATAACAAAAACTAAAATAATAATTTTAATAAAAACTTTTGAAACAAGAAGGGGGTCCTTTATGTTTATTTCATAAACATTATGCTTCCTCATTATGTGAAGCAAAAAATTCGCTTCCTCGTGAAGGAAGCAATGAATTTGTCCAATTCAATTGATTGATTTAAAAAATTTCGAGTTAAAAATGTTTTAAATTAATTAAATTTTTTGAAAAATAAAGAAAATTTTAATTAATTTTGAGTGTAACATAAACTTTATATATACGAATCGATTCGTTTTAATGCAAGGAATACAATTATTTTATTCATCAACTTGAATTTTAAACAAACACAAAATTTTTTAGCTAAAATATGAATTTTCGTTTTTTCAATTTTTATTAATTCTCAAATTTTCAATCAAATCTATACTTTATATATACCAACCAATTCGTTTCAATGCAGGAAATAAAATTATTTCATATATAAACATGAATTTAAATAAACACATCATTTTTTAGCTAAAATGAGAATTTTTGATTTTATAACTTTCATTAATTCTTTAAATTTCAATCAAATCTATATTTTATATATATCAATCGATTCATCTTGACATAAAGAAGAACGATTATATTATATATTACCTTAAATTTTTCGATTTAAAAATTTTTTCAATTAAAAAAAAAATTTTGGAAAAAAGACGATAAAATTTTTTTTTTGGGTATTTTTAAAAATCCTCTTGTCATTTTTGAGAGATTAATGTGTTAAATAAGCCTATCAAATTTTACCCAAATCCATTAAAACCTGTTAAAGATATCGTGTTCACAAAAACTATCCACACACACATACACACACACATACATACATCCGGACAATTGATCAGGATCTCATATAACATGTTTCTATATAGAGGAAAATTTGTTTTCACCATTTTTAAAAATTTTATAAACGAAAGGACTACATAGCTTCCTCCACGAGGAAGCAAAATAATAATTTCGAGAAGTAACAATTTTATTAAAATTAACAAAGAGAATAATTTTATTAAATGACACTTTTAATAAAATTAAAAATAAAATTTTTATAATAACAAAAACTAACATAATAATTTTAATAAAAAAACTTTTAGAAAATAATAATTTCGAGAAGTAACAATTTTATAAAATTAACAAAGAGAATAATTTTATTAAATGACACTTTTACTAAAATTAAAAATAAAATTTTTATAATAACAAAAAATAAAATAACAATTTTAATAAAAACTTTTGAAAAATAATAATTTCGAGAAGTAACAGTTTTATTAAAATTAACAAAGAGAATAATTTTATTAAATGACACTTTAAATAAAATTAAAAAAAAAATTTTATAATAATAAAAACTAAAATAATAATTATAATAAAAGAAACTTTTGGAAAATAATAATTTCGAGAAGTAACAATTTTATTAAAATTAACAAGAGAATAATGTTATTAAATGACACTTTTGATAAAATTAAAAATAAAATTTTTATAATAACAAAAACTAAAATAATAATTATAATAAAAAAAACTTTTGGAAAATAATAATTTCGAGAAGTAACAATTTTATTAAAATTAACAAGAGAATAATGTTATTAAATGACACTTTTAATAAAATGAAAAATAAAATTTTTATAATAACAAAAACTAACATAATAATTTTAATAAAAAAACTTTTAGAAAATAATAATTTCGAGAATTAACAATTTTATAAAATTAACAAAGAGAATAATTTTATTAAATGACACTTTTAATAAAATTAAAAAAAAAATTTTATAATAACAAAAACTAAAGTAATAATTATAATAAAAAAAACTTTTGGAAAATAATAATTTCGAGAAGTAACAATTTTATTAAAATTAACAAAGAGAATAATTTTATTACTTGACACTTTTAATAAAATTAAAAATAAAATTTTTATAATAACAAAAATTAAAATAATAATTTTAATAAAAAAACTTTTGAAAAATAATAATTTCGAGAAGTAACAATTTTATTAAAATTAACAAAGAGAATAATTTTATTAAATGACACTTTTACTAAAATTAAAAATAAAATTTTTATAATAACAAAAACTAAAATAACAATTTTAATAAAAATTTTGAAAAATAATAATTTCGAGAAGTAACAGTTTTATTAAAATTAACAAAGAGAATAATTTTATTAAATGACATTTTTAATAAAATTTTAAAAAAAATTTTTATAATAACAAAAACTAAAATAATAATTATAATAAAAGAAACTTTTGGAAAATAATAATTTCGAGAAGTAACAATTTTATTAAAATTAACAAAGAGAATAATTTTATTACATGACACTTTTAATAAAATTAAAAATAAAATTTTTATAATAACAAAAACTAAAATAATAATTTTAAAAAAAAAACTTTTGAAAAATAATAATTTCGAGAAGTAACAATTTTATTAAAATTAACGGCTTCCGTTTCCGGTACGGTAACTGTACATACGCGGTTTTTGATAGCGCTGATATTTTTGCGATTTTTTAGAGTTTTAAGTGAAGGGAGGGCTTTTCTGGGTGTGAAAGTGTGTGTTAGAAAGTGAGCTGTAAGTGAATAGTTTGTTAGTGTGAGGGGCAGTTGGTGAGTGTGGGTAAAAAAGGTAAAAAGTGTGAAAGTGTGGTTGTGTTGAGGTTAGGTTGTGTGGGGGTAGGGAGAGAGAGAGGGAGATAGGAGAGAAAAGGAGGTTAAAGAAAATCAAGGCGGGTTCGTAAGTTAGGGATAAGAAATGATTAGAACACCGGTGAAAAGAGACGGCAGGCAAGGTAATGAGACAGAAGAGAGAATTGGCGGCAATGAGGAAGGGGAAACGATAGAGTGCGACATGAAGACAGAGAAAGAAGGTGCAGGGGCGGATGAAGTTTTGGGCGAAGCTGAATCTCTTGTGAATCTGAATTTAGTGAGAAGCGATTCATTGCAATCGCTACCGGATTTGTCATCTTTCGTAGATAGAAAGAAAGTGGGAAGGCGCTCAAGGAAAGAGTTGGAGTTGAAGGAAAGACGAGTGAATGATAAATGGTGGGCGGCAATGTTGCAAAACAAAGTAAGGGAGAGGAAAAGTTTAGTGAAGGAGGATAGGGAGGGGGACGAAGAAAAGGAGGAAGAGGAAGGAGTGAAGAAAAAGGAATCCGAGAAAGTGGGGGGAGAGTTGGAAGAGTTTATGAGAGTAATGATGAAAATAGGAGAGGAAACAAATGTAAGGATGGAGAGATTAAGTAAGGAGTTGAAAGAAAACAATGATCAGGGAAGGTTAAGGGATGGAAAGATGGAGGAAATTAGGGGTGAGATTGGAGGGATTAGAAACATGTGGGAAGAATGGGAAAGAGTATGGAAAAGAGAGAAAGGAGAGATGCTGGAAAAATTGGAAGTGTTGGAGTTGGATCAAGAGAAAATGGTAAAAGAAGGAAAAGAGGAGAGGAGAAAGCTGGAGATAAGGGTGGAGAGGTTGGAGGAACGAGAGATGAGTGATGCTGGGGGGAATGGGTGCAAGAGGAAGAGCGGAGAAGGGTTGGAAGAGAAAGTGAAAGAACTAACGAGGAAGGTGGATCAGATGGAGAGGGAAAAAAGAAAGAGTGGTATCGTCATAAGAGGAATGAGGGTGAAAAAAGATGAGGGAAGAAAGGAGATTGAGAAACTTTTAAAGGATATAGGGGTAAAGGTGAATATCAGGAGCATAAAGGGAATAGACGGGGAGGAAAAAGAGACACCTAAGATATGGATAGTGCAGCTAGGATGTGAGGAAGAAAGAAGAGAGGTGATGGCGAATAAATATAAGTTGAAGGGAAGAAAAGAGAGGATAGAGGAGGATAAATCATGGGGAGAGAGAAGGAATGAATGGCTATTAAGAGAAAGAGCATGGGAAGAGATGAGGAAGGGCAGGAAGGAGCAGATAGGTAGAGACTGTATATGGGTGGAGGGGAGCAGATGGACGGTGGAGGATATAACAGCAGGAGTTGAAAGAAAAAGAGGAGGGGGGTTTGGGGAAAGCGCGGAGAATACAAAGGAGGGGGAGAAAGAGGAGGTAGTGGAATAAAAATTGTTTTTTGGAATATAACAGGGTGGAAGAATAAGGAGGAGGGTTTTTGGAGGAGTTTGGATAAATGGGATGTTGTAATGCTGAGTGAAACATGGACAGAAGAGAAGGAGTGGGAAGGCGTAAAGAGGAAATTACCAAAAGGATTTAGATGGGAGGTGCAAGGAGCGAAGAGGGATAAAATAAAGGGAAGGAGTGCGGGAGGGATGATCTCGGGGGTAAGGGTAGGAATAGAAGAAATGAAAGAAGAAAGGCATCAGGAGGAAGGAGTCATGGTAAGGAGGATGAAGATCGATAAGGAGATGTTAACAGTTGTAGGAATTTATAGGAGAAGGGGGGATAGAAAAGGATGGAAAGTGGTGGAGAGTTGGATGGAGAAAGGGAAAGATGAGAAGGTATTAATGGGTGGGGATTTCAATGCGTGGACCGGGGAACTGGGAGGAGGAGGAACGTGGAACGAAGAGGAGAATAAATATAATAGAAATTCCAAGCATAAGGAGGTGGATGGTGAAGGAAGAGAACTGTTAAGTTTGTTAGGGGAAAGTGGATGGGCAATTTGTAACGGGAGTGTCGAAGGTGATGAGAAGGGGGAAATTACGTTTGTGGGTAGGGGGGAAACAGTAATAGATTATGTGCTAGCAGATGAGAGGACAAGGGCAGGGATCAAAAGAATGGAGGTAGGAAGTGAAGTGGACTCCGGACATTTTCCGCTGGTAGTGGAGTTGAAAGAGAAGTTAAGGAAGAGGAAAGCGAGAAAAAGTAGAAATAAGGATGAGGTTAGAAAAGAGAAAATGGGAAAATGGAGTATTGAGAGGTTGTTAGAATTTGAGAGAAGGATGCAGATTAAAGGCATAGAGCTGGAAGGAGAAGGGGGAGTGGATGAGAGATTAAAAAGGTTGAAGGCGGTAATAGAAGGAGTTAGAAAAGAGATGGAGGGAGTGGGTGTTAAAAATGAGAGAAAAGGGTGGTGGGATGAGGAGTGTGAAAGAAGTAGAGAGGAGATGAGGGGATATATAAGGGAATGGAGGAGAGGGAGGATGGAGAGGAAGGAGTACAACTGGAAACATAAGGGACATGAGAAGCTGGTGAAAAGGAAAAGAGAGGAAGGAAAAGTGAGATTCTTGGAAGAGGTAGAGAAGGCGATAGAAGAGGGTAGAGAATGGGAGGTGATTAATAGGGAAAGAGGTAAGGGTAAAGGGGTGAACAGGGAGATCAAGATGGAGGAGTGGACGGAGTATTTCAAGGGATTAAGTGGGGGAATGGATAATAGAATAAGAGGTGAAGGGAGAAGAAGGAGTAGGGAGATGGAGATGGGTGGGATAAGTAGGGACGAGGTGGATGCAGCAATTGGGAGATTAAAGAAGAACAAGGCAACAGGAGGAGATGGGATAGAAGGAGAAAGTCTAAAATATGGAGGGGAGGCTGTAAGGGAGGAATTGTGGCAAATAATGAACAAGGTATGGGAAGGTGAAGGTTGGCCGGAAGAGTGGAAGACGGGCTGGATAGTGCCAATAGTAAAGAAGGGTAGTGGGAGGAAGGTGGAGGATTATAGAGGTGTAACACTGATGCCGGTGGGATACAAAGTTTACGCCGAGATTCTCAGGAAGAGATTGGAGGACAGAGTGGAAGATTTGGGATGTATTCCGCACAACCAGACCGGATTTAGGAAGGGTATGGGCACAGTGGATAACATCTATGTGTTGAATTATCTGGTGAGCAGGAATCTCCAAAAGGAAAAAGGGAAGCTGGTATCTCTGTTTGTGGACCTGAAGGCGGCGTTCCCATCGGTGAATAGGGGGGTGTTATGGAGGGTTTTAGAAAAATTGGGGCTTGAGCAGGGTTTAATTGAAAGAGTGAAGGAGTGCTATGAGGAGACAAGAGAAAGAGTGAAAATAGGGGAGGAATTAGGGAAGGATTTTTGGTTGGGGAGGGGGTTGAGGCAGGGGTGTCCGTTGAGCCCTGTTTTATTCAACTTGTTGATGGCCGACTTAGAGGAGAGGATGAGAAAGAGAGGGAAGGGGGGAGTTATTTTAGGGAAGGGAAGAGTGTATACCCTGGCGTATGCGGATGATGTGGTATTAATGGCTGAGGAGGAGAGTGGTTTGAGATTGTTGATGAGAGAGTTTGAGTTGTATGTGAGAGAAAGAGATTTATGGGTGAATGTGGAAAAAACGAAAGTTATGAGATTTAGAAAGAAAAGAGGGAGGGATGAGGAAGTGTGGAGTATGAATGGGAAAAGCGTGGAGGAAGTGAGTGAATTTTGTTATTTGGGATATTGGTTTAAATGGAATGGGAGTCAGGATTTGAATGTGAGTAAGAGGATTGAGAAAGGGGGGAGAGTGATGAAGCAAGTATGGGGGATTGGGGAAAGAAGATTTAAGAATGATTGGAGAAAGAGAATTTGGTTGTTTGACGTGCTAGTATGGTCGGTTATAAGTTATGGGGTAGAAATATGGGGGTGGAGAGAGAGTGAGAAATTGGAAAGATTGCATGAGAGGTTTCTGAGATGGACCATGGGAGTGGATGAGAAATGTCCAGGGTATATGCTAAGGGAGGAATTGGGTAGGGAAAAGCTGGTCATAAGGCAGAGAAGAAGAGCGATGGGGTTAGAGGAAAAGCTAAAACAGGGGAAGGGGAGTAGAGTGGCACAGGCGTGCTGGGCTTTGGTGGAAGAAGGAGTAAGGAGAGGAAGGAAGGATGTATCGGGATGGGAGAGAGAGAGAAGAGGGGCTATGGAGGAAGGAAGAAGATGGAGTGAGGTGGAAGGAGATGTAAAGGATGGTTGGAGTAGGAGGGACAAGCAGCAAAGGTGGGAAAGGATAGTTGGATCGCGTTACAATAGATGGTACAGGATGGTGAGAGGGGAAGGGTTACCGGGGTATCTGGAGACGAAAAAGAAATTTGAAGAATGGAATAGGGTGTGCAGGTTCAGAATGGGTGAAGGTATGAAAGAATGTAAGTATTGGATGGATGAGTTTGAGAAAAAATGTAGAATATGTGGGTATGAAAGAGAGAGCTGGGCGCACGTGTTGGATAGATGTGTGGGAGGAATGGATGAAGGAAAAGGAGTGGGGGAAAGAGTATGTTGGATTTTAGAAGAGAATGGACAGGGTGAAAGGTGGATGAAAGGCTTAGAAAGAATGAGAAAAGAAAGAATGGGGGGTTGTTAATTAAGGGGTGGGCGTTTTGTTTATATTTTCTTTGGGGGACGAAGCCAAAAAGGGCAATTGAAACTGGAAACGGAAGCCCTGGCACATTGGCGGATATAAATTTGATAGATTTAAGTTAGATTAAGTTTTGCGATTAGGTTAAGGATTTATGTATTTAGGTTAAGTGGAAATTTTGTATTTGGGAGTCTCGAACTCTGCGTATGCAGAGAGAGTAAATAAATATTATTATTATTAAAATTAACAAAGAGAATAATTTTATTAAATGACACTTTTAATAAAATTAAAAATAAAATTTTTATAATAACAAAAACTAAAATAATAATTATAATAAAAAAAACTTTTGGAAAAAAATAATTTCGAGAAGTAACAATTTTATTAAAATTAACAAAGATAATAATTTTATTAAATGACACTTTGAATAAAATTAAAAATAAAATTTTTATAATAACAAAAACTAAAATAATAATTTTAATAAAAAAACATTTAGAAAATAATAATTTCGAGAAGTAACAGTTTTATTAAAATTAACAAAGAGAATAATTTTATTATTTACTAAAATTAAAAATAATATTTTTAAAATAACAAAAACTAAAATAACAATTTTAATAAAAACTTTTGAAAAATAATAATTTCGAAAAGTAACAGTTTTATTAAAATTAACAAAGAGAATAATTTTATTAAATGACACTTTTAATAAAATTAAAAAAAAAAATTTTATAATAACAAAAACTAAAATAATAATTTTAATAAAAAAACTTTTGAAAAATAATAATTTTGAGAAGTAACAGTTTTATTAAAATTAACAAAGAGAATAATTTTATTAAATGACACTTTTAATAAAATTAAAAATAAAATTTTTATAATAACAAAAACTAAAATAACAATTTTAATAAAAAAACTTTTGAAAAATAATAATTTCGAGAAGTAACAATTTTATTAAAATTAACAAAGATAATAATTATATTAAATGACACTTTTAATAAAATTAAAAATAAAATTTTTATAATAACAAAAACTAAAATAATAATTTTAATAAAAAAATTTTGAAAAATAATAATTTCGAGAAGTAACAGTTTTATTAAAATTAACAAAGAGAATAATTTTATTAAATGACACTTTTAATAAAATTAAAAATAAAATTTTTATAATAACAAAAACTAAAATAACAATTTTAATAAAAAAACTTTTGAAAAATAATAATTTCGAGAAGTAACAATTTTATTAAAATTAACAAAGAGAATAATTTTATTAAATGACACTTTTAATAAAATTAAAAAAAAAATTTTTATAATAACAAAAACTAAAATAATAATTATAATCAAAAAAACTTTTGGAAAATAATAATTTCGAGAAGTAACAATTTTATTAAAATTAACAAAGAGAATAATTTTATTAAATGACACTTTTAATAAAATTAAAAATAAAATTTTTATAAAAACAAAAACTAAAATAATAATTTTAATAAAAAAACTTTTGAAAAATAATAATTTCGAAAAGTAACAGTTTTATTAAAATTAACAAAGAGAATAATTTTATTAAATGACACTTTTAATAAAATTAAAAAAAAAATTTTTATAATAACAAAAACTAAAATAATAATTTTAATAAAAAAACTTTTGAAAAATAATAATTTCGAGAAGTAACAGTTTTATTAAAATTAACAAAGAGAATAATTTTATTAAATGACACTTTTAATAAAATTAAAAAAAAAATTTTTATAATAACAAAAACTAAAATAATAATTTTAATAAAAAAACTTTTGAAAAATAATAATTTTGAGAAGTAACAGTTTTATTAAAATTAACAAAGAGAATAATTTTATTAAATGAC